AGGCAAGAGCAAAGCAAACAGAAAAAAAAAAACCAGTGTGGAGGTTTTGATGGAGCTGAGATAGAAAGCAAGGACGGTAAAGGTGCAGTGATGAATGCATGCCGTAGTATCGATGCACAAATGTGTTCTTAAAGCTTCACCGTGAATTATGCATAAACAACCTTACTCTCGGTGGAAACAGAAGCAGAGAAGTGTGTGGGCACCAGAATGTCAGCCAGAGCAAAAGGCTCTTTGGATAGAAAGGTTCGCAAAAAGGTATAAAACATCCGTTTTGAATTTAAGTTATAGCCCAATAAAGACTTTGACAGATTCAGGCAAAGATATTCTTTACAGTCGAATCTTACAAAAGTAGCTTATGGTTGTGAAATGGAAAGGAAAAAGGATCCCTATTTTCAAAAGTTGTACAAATAAAAATCTAATATGTGCAGGGAGTGTTTGGTACAAATAAATCATTTGCTCCGAGTCCCGCTGCAGGTATGTCAGCCAGCTTTGTAAAACTAGAGACCAACATTATTGTCCATTCTTGTTTGCAAAATAACTCAGTTTTCCAATTCACTTTTTCCTCTTCATTTGTTACTTCTGAGAATGTGAAAAATAGGATTGAGCGGTTTCGAGATAAAAACTGTAATTTCATTTTTGTCATTTTAAATTAAGAGTAATTAGAGGTTACGGTATTGTAGATCTGTCTAAATCATATTTTCATCTTGTTTATTTAATAAGAACAAAGTAAAAGGACGAACAAGGGTAATCAGGGTTGTTGGGGTTTGTCATTTCCATTATGTTTTTGTTTTGTAGAAATTTTAAGAAAACTAGGTTATTTGTGTTTTCTGCAATTTAACACCTTTTCCAGGAGGACTGGACATTGTCTCTTTTATTTTAAATTCGTTTAACTTTTTGGGAACAATTACTTTTGTCAGGTATTTCAAGACACTTCAATTTAATTCAAATCATACAGAAGGCAAGCCTGGAGGTCACCTCTCTGTCTTTTGCTGGTTTTCTCTTTCTGGCACCGTCACAAAATTTTTATTCTGCTGTAATCTAAAGCGTCATTGGCTGACTTTGATGCAATCTGGCTGCAGATCAGTAACCCCAAATCTGAAACCGTGGATCTTCCCTGAGAAGTAGGGCATGTTCCCTTTATTTAAAGGAGGAGAGTCTATTTCAGGCGTTGCAGATTGAGTATCCTGGTATTTGTTCAGGTGTGGCTTTAAAAAGGCAAAAACCAGAGGGTGAGTGTTTGATATGTAAAGCCATAACAATGTGCTCAGTGATGATGAATAGAGTTGAGCCATGAAAACCTCTCGTCTTGCCAGACTTCTCACTTTCACCTGTGTTCCCTAAACTTTGGCTGAAGAGAAAAACATTCTTTTTTTTGGCGCCTTTAGGTAATGTTTACACAAAAAAGTTTCCATCTAGAGAAATTCTTGGCATATTGGCAAATATCTTTAGGTTGTCCTTTTATTTGCTGGAAGGATTTGATGTTCTGGTCTGGAAATGACAGAAGAGACACGTTCTGGTTGAAAGTCTGGAAACCGCTGAGTTTCACTTGTTTTCTGTGGTTTTTGATCAGACCAACATTTCTGGGCAATGCAACCAGATTGACCTATAGATCGATGTTTCTATTTATAGGTTCATACATTAAAGGAGCAAAATATTCAATGGTAGAGATCACACAATGTAATAATTTGGTCATTTGGGCTCCTTTGTACACAGTGAACACAATAGTAGACCAATAGGAGACGAAAGAAATGGCTATAGATGAGCTGTCCTAAGCTCCCCAAATGATTCCCAGAGCCCTGAAGAGTTTTACAGTTTCTATAGAATTACATTTATGAGGTTTTATGGAAGATTCATGGATCAGATTTTGTGCAGTACAATCTCACGTCTTTGCTGTTATAAAAATAATAGAGTTTCCTTTCGGAAAACTGAATTTGAAGTTGAATTCATAGCAGACGTCTGGACAACTCTTTCCTGGTTTTATGCTTTGTGCTTCACGTAAGAATAGGAATTAAAGCTGCAGTTTGTAGCTTTTATTAAAAAATATATATATATATATATATATGCTTTTTACAAATTTGTTAAAACTATTACTATGTCCTGACAGGATGAGACGGATAATGGGTGATGAACAAATCAATCTCCTCTGCCTCCTGCTGGTGGTCCTACTGCTATCTGCAGAAATAGACCAGTCAGTCACCCTGGTGTATGCGCTGCTCATACCCTCCCTCTTGCTTTCTGCTAAGCTACAGCTGGTTCCCCACACTACAGCTTGTATGTTCAGAGTGACAGCACTTAAACTCTTAGCTCTGATTGGTTGTTTCTGACTGAGCAATGTATTTCTACAGACAGCAGTAGGTTCGATTTTCATTTATGTATGGAGACATAAATGAAATGGAGACAGTTTGTCAGTGTTGCATTCAAAGAATAAGGTATGTCTAAATTAATAGTGATTGCTTTATTTCTGTAAAACATTTCCAAGACGTCATCTCACAAAAATGTAAAGTTGTAACTTTTGTAACAGTTGCTGCTTTAGAAGCAGGCTGGATTTATCTCCCTCACAATCCCACCGTAACCGTTACATTTATGGAGAGCCGACTGTCTTTTGTGGCATCCCTGATGGTGACAACATAATGGGATAACTTCACTGCTTTTTGTGAGATGTTAAAGTTCGAACCTTTGTGTTTGAACTGTGCTTTGGCTCTTAAAAACCATCAATTATTCTTATTATTATTTTTTTTTAAAAGGGAGCTTGAAGAGCACTACTCACACTGTACGGACAGCTTCATTTATCATCATACCCAGTTTGTTCTCTGTTATTTAATTTGTTTCAAAGATTTTAGCCCTTTGATCAATAGTAATGTGATCATTGTTCCTGAAAATAAAGAGTAATACTGAGGCTCTTCGGTGCTGCAGCATTATGAGTATGGTTTCAGACAAGGTCCTTGAAGGGTCACTATGCTGTAAAGTAATATTGCACACTCTTTTTTCGCCAGCGATTGCATCATACAGCCAACATAAACAAATAATTAGCTGCATCTGTGACTAGTTTTCTTTATTATTCATCTGTAATCGCAGAACAAGACGGATTTGTGTTTATTTGAAGGGGAAAGATCTGCTCACCGGCTGGAACCTAAAGGGACAGATTGTTGTGATCTGTGGAGCTCGTATCTGTACTCAGTGTCTCTCCTGTGGAGTCAGGCTGAATCACATTACTGCTGCTCTGAAACAATTTTATTCTGAAAAATTATAGAAAGGTTTTGGCGTTTGCATATAGTGGTTATCTACATAGAATTGTGTGTGTATTTATGAGGAAGTCTGCCACTGTTACCTATTTATGTTGAATACTGAAGGACAAGTGCATTAATTTTTTTACATTTCAAATGTAACCTCAAAATGTAAAAGAAAAAGAAGTCAGATTCTGCACCTTGAAACTGAGTCGCTCATGTAAAGGTTTGAGGATTCAAGAAACTGTCGATTTAGATGCAATAAAAATTCTGTTCTGATATAATAATGCAAAAATATTATGGATACACCTTTTCCTTTGGAGTAGAAACAATGATTTTAAGTACGTGTACTTATTTTTGCTTAAAATATGTTTGCTAATTAGATTGATGGAGCAATTTTGAACATTTTAAAAGCTTAATTTGTGCTTTGATATAGAATTGACATAATTATCTGATTCCCCAGGAAATTACAGTGAAAATAACTTAGCTACGAACAGATTTTTCTTTCTTTTTTTGTTCAATATGTGCTTTTTCACATGGCACAAACATCTAAAGGCTGTTTGAATGATCAGCTCATAGCTTGAAATAGAAGAAATAAACATTTATACCATATAAAATATACAAACTAAAACAATTATTGTTTTCAGAGGATATCGGTTGCATGTTTCTTCAGATATATGAGATAAAACTACTTGATAAGCGAGTAACATCTGTCGGACTGAGTCACTCTCGTGTCACAGCTGGACTTGCCTAAAAAATTGTCAGTGACTCCTTCATCTGTCTCTCAGCAGCCTGCGTCCAGAGTTTCCGTGGTAACCAACTGCTGCACTGGTCGATGGTTTGGAATTATACTGGGAGAAAAAAAAAGCCACTTCCTCACACCATTAGCCTGCCTTATTTATTCCTAAACCAGGTTTGATGTGTGATTAGATCACTTTCCCATCAAGATGTGCGGCTGTTTTAAAGTTTCAAATATCTACTTCTTGCTTGTTGTGAGGTTCAGGAAACTGGAGGGAATCCTCCATCTTTAATCTTTAAAGATTAAAGATGATCTTTAATCTTTAAAGATTAAAGATCATCTTTAATCTTTAAAGATTAAATGGCAGCAAAACAATGGCAGCAAAACAGCGCTAAAGCCTGATGCCATCTCCACCAACAGAAGTTGTTTCTGTGTCCTGCATTTCGCAAAATCTCAAAATGTTTTTACTACATGAGCCAAAGCTGGAGTTGCACATGAGTGCGTATTTTAATTTTTCTACTAGTTTCTGTTCGATGAATGAAAACTGAACAGAAATGTAATTTTCACTCTTCTGTGCAGTATCTTCACTTTACCGAGGTCAAATTGCATCTGTAACTTCAAAACCACGTGCATCTTGGTGCTTTAATCATCAGCTGGCCGCCCCAGCAGGTCCGCCATCTATCACCGAGGCCTAATTCAATCAGGGCCGACATCTCAATCAGAAGTGGGTTGGCTGCTGCTTCTGGCCAGTCACCATGCCACCGGCGGCAGCTCCAACACACCGACGAAGACGCGCTCAGGAAGGACGGGAGGAAAGCGGAAGGGAATGAGCGCGGGCGTAGTTAGAACGAGATGCCAGTGAACCAGTAGTCAGGGTGTGAGAAGTGGGGTTAAAGGAAAATCAAATGCTTCAGCTGCCACTTGTGTATGAGTGATGTCACTCTGTTTCTGTGCTGCGTGCGTGCGTGTGTGTGTGTGTGTGTGTGTGTTTGTGGTGTGATGTAGACCATGTGTCTGACCATACGTTTGTGTTCCAGCTCCGCCTCAGAGGACCTGGGCTGCAGGCGTGGAGACTTCAGCAGGAAACACTATGGTTCGGTCGAGCTGGTGAGTCCCACCCACGATGCCCCCATCAGCCTGTTGCTCTCTCTGCTTCTCAGCGGTGACCGCTCCCTCCCTCCATTAGTTCTTTTGTTTTATGATCTTCCCTCCCTTCCTATCTGTCTCTGAATTTCTCTGCCGTCCCCTCCTGTCTGTTGTCGTGGATGGACGACGGAGGAGGGGGGTGGCCGATGAGTCACGATGCACTGGGTGTGGTCCGTAGCCACGCTTTGCCAGCGTTCAGCACAACAGGTGTGCCACTCGCTAAGACGCGCGGCTCCTCTTGCCTCCGTCTCCAAAATTCTTGCCTTTTTTAACTCCGCTGGTCTAAAAGTGCTGCACAGTGTGGGGTTTTGTGGTCGATTACTAAGATGTTGAGTCACAGCTGCCGTAGGAGATTGTGCGTGAGTGCGTGTGTGTGTGTGTGTGTGTGAGGATGCATCACTACTAAATGTGAGCTGTACATGCTGATAGCCCGGAGGGGGAGGAAGTCTGTAGAGTGATTGTACTTCCTACCAGAGACGTATTGAGGGTCTGTCCATGAGTCCCACACACCACGTGCACGATAGATTAGTGTCACTGAGAAACCACATGTTGCCCTATCAGCACCAGCAGACAGACGCTTCATACAGTGATGCTGCGTGAGACGAGAGAGCGTGTGATAAAAGTAGACAGAGAGCGAATATGAGACGCCGTGATGTCACCAAGAACCTCACATGATCCAAAGCCACCACGACTTTTTACATCAAGCGGGTCTCTAATGGATTGCTGGACGTGGGCTGTGGTTTGTCCTTAATCTTGAATTGAAGAAGCAGAAAGCTTGAAAGTCTTATTAGTGTCATCTTGATGTATTAAGAATAAGACATGAAGAAAAACAAAACATACATCAAGTATATATATATATATATATATATATATATATATATATATATATATATATATATATATGAAGTCATTACTTAGAAGCTAGTGAGAGAGTAGCTGGATTTAAGGATATTTATGATGAGCCTAAACTTGATAGAACAGCCTTTCTTTGAGTATGAAGTAGCAAAACTTTAACTGGGTTTAGAACATGTAAAAATGAATTTTAAAATCTATATCACAAAAAATCAGCTGGATTTAGTCAGAGACTTTGACTGGGCCCCTCCAACACTTTGCTTTGCTTTGATCTGGATCTCTCCATTGTAGCTGTGGGTGTTTGTTTAGGACTGATAAACCCCAGTCTCAATTAATTTGCTGTTCCTGAAGAGTTCACTTCAAATATTTTAACACCTATAACTATGAGCAGCATTTCTGTTCATAGTTATGTAACAGTCCTTCAGGGCATGGTCAAAATTTGGTATTTTTTTTATACATATAAAAAAAAACTTTCTTTAAACCTCTACACAACTTCATCTCTGACCTATTTTTTTGTGTTTTATGGTTTTCATGATGTTGATTGTTCTCTAATATTCTCTAACAAACCTCTGAGGCCTTCACAGTACATCTGGATTTATACTGACAGTAAACTAGGTGGACTCTGTTCACAAATAAAGCGACAATTGGCAGCATTAGGTTTTATTTCAAGGTATCATAGTAATAGGGACTGGATACAAAAGCATGCCCCACTTTTCAGAAAAGTAATATGAACAGCACGTCCCATTTTCCTACAGTTATGCACTGCTTTTTGTTGGTTTGTCTCATAAAATCCCAAAAGGTTGTATTGAAATTTGAGGTTGCATTGTGAAATTTAGAAGTTTTACAAAACACTGCTTTGATAATAAGATACCAAGATAAAAAAGACACTTTAAGCATATTTTAAGAAAATCTATTCTACTTTTCTTGGATGAAGACATTTTTTCAAGTATCCAATTAACATCACATAAGCACAGACGCTAAGGACGAATCCGAGCTACGCCATGACAGAATCCATGCTGCTCTGCTACACGGACAGCCTGTTCTGGGACGAACTAAAGCCCACTGAAGACATAGTTGTATTCAACCAACATGACATTTATGGATCCTTGGGTAATTTTGTGAATTTTATGAAAATTTAATGACAAATATGCATGCCGAGTGCAGCAGGGCCGGGGGGTTTATTACTTTCTGTGGAAGGAATTGTTTGTTGTCCACGTCCTACCTAATGCACCAGAGCTCATTCAGCTTAAAGCAATATGCACTCTAAACTCATTACAAAAACCATTTCCCTTTTTTAAATCCAGACAAACAATTACATTTCCTTTCCCACACGAAAGCAAAGATTTAATTTTACTTTGAAATCAAGGCTCAAAAATAGAACGTATGCTCGGCGACATGCGGTTTTCCTCCCTGAGGTTGTTTCTGATCATCAGCGTGGGCTTATCAAGCCCTGTCATTAATTTTCCATTACCCACCTCCTCCTCTAATAAACAAGCCACACAGACTCTTATCCCATCAGTAACGACGTGTGTTAAAAACAGACTCCTGCTGGTAAGGATTATTTATTAAATTTGTGCAGGCCTTGTTATGCTACCTGCATATATTTGAAAGTCAAATACCATATGAGTGCTTCACCATCAATACTGTGTCAAGAAATATGCTGATCAATTGATATCCAGTCAAATCGCATGATCTTCCGGCTGATCACTGCAACAATTCTTCATGAAAAGTAGAGTACAGTTTCTGCAGGTACAGTCCTACTAATGGCTGTCTAGAAAATAGCATTAACGTCTTAATGGAGAGAGTGAATTGTTAGGGTTGTCTGAACAATTGAAGCACAATTGAAAATGGAGGCATATCAGACATGCTAGCAAAATTATTCTGCAGCAACCAGGTAACATCTGGGCTTGCAGATGTTGATAGAAAATCCAAAATCAATCACACGTAATGTGTAAATTGCGCATGTTATTCTGAATATGCTGTTTTTGTTTCTATTTATGAAAAATCAGTTTTTCCTTTGAAGGTGACATCTGTCTTTACCTGAGAATGACAACGCACCTCCTAAATTGGCAGAATCCACAACAAGAAACAGATGTGCTGTAACAATCTGAATCAAATTATCAGGCAATGAGATGCAGGAACTTACCAATTTTTAGGCTTTGTGGCAAATAATGTGTGTTTCCAAACATAAAAAGCTTCATCTGTCAGGTATAATCTGCCACATTTAATTTCTCTACTACAGTGTTTGCTGCTGTCAGCAGCAAAATCAACCCATATTTACAAATATATCCTGGCAAAGATGTGTTTAGCTTATTATCTGACCCTCAACAAAATTCAGAGTTGCTCCTCAGGCCCTTTGGGAAATTGTTCATTCCTGAAATGAACTAACAAATATATATATATTTTTTGTTTAATGAACTTAATGTTCATTGTGTTATCTTGTCCATCATCCCTATTCTAAATAAAATTACTATGTACAGTCACTGCTTAAAGTAAAAGTACGACCTCTTTAAATTTTGGGGGGGTTATCCTTATTTCAGAGATTTGGGTAGCTGTGTGTGTTTTTACAACCTTTTCCATGTTGGCTCAGTCTGTGTTGTCTTGGCACTTCAGGCATACCATATGGAGAAACTGGCTTCCTACATAATATGCCAAAGCAGCTTCGCTTTGCAAAAAAGATGTCTGAAGATGGTCTTCTAATTGCATCATTGACTGCACCCAGCATCAACGCAGATAGGTCACATAATAACAACCTTTGTTTGAATGACTGTGAAAGTGCGTCAGTGCATTGGCATGTGAATGTGGGTGTATGTGTATTTGTGCATGTGGGCAAACACAAGTAAAAGTAAGTGGGTTTGTGTTCAGAGGGTGTATGTGAGTGAGTCACCTGAAGGTACACAGTTAGTGGTAAGGACGGTAAAAGGCCTGCAACACTCAGTACCCAAGAGCTGCAGAGGACAGGTGGACAGACATAAGGCACCACCCCAGAGCAACCAGAGATGGGCTATGAAGCACTGAGGCAGCCCCAAAGAGGCAAATAGCATCGAAACCTCCCAGCCCTCCCTGCCATCTTCTGTCACGGATCCAGACCCTAAAGCGACCCGGAAACTCCCAGCAGCCAGACAGCCCAGCACCAAGCAAGAGAGACGCAAACATGCCGCACTAACTTGCCGAGTTAGCTGGAGCTCAGAAGAACCAAGGGAGGAAGGGCACATTACCCCCCCACCTGGTGAGCCGGCTTCAGAGACGTTTAGAGGGAGGGATTCCCACTATAGCCTAGCTTGGCCCCCAATTGCCAACAACCCCGAGGACTATAGAGCCTGACATGAGTCCACCAGCCCAGGACACAGCAGCGTCGTCCTCCCAAACTTCCAGTACTTTCTTTTCACCATGATTCAAACTCTTTGCATAAATTAAATGAGCATATTGTTTACATTAACCCCTTAACAGCCACCTCCAGAACAATTACATGTAAATCAATGGGGTCCATGAGGACCTCAATTTTTAAGGGGTTTTGTTTAAAAATTTGCAATAACTGTCTCCTTGAAGAAATATAGGAATAGTACCAAGAAGAGCAGAATCCAGCTTAAATCAGGCCATTCTGATCACAAACCAGCTACAAAAGCTCTGCTCACCACAACTTACATAAACATAGGACAAAACTGACATGACTGTAAAAACAATGCTCCAGACCATCGGTTTGTTACTTTTAGTTACAACTACAAAGCACCTTCTGGTCTGTCTCGTTGATTTTCAAAGTGTGACTCTTGCATTGCACTACTTTGAAATATTTATTCCTAAGTCTGAAAACCACTGGGAGATATTGATTTAGAGCAGGGTGTTCCTACTAGGAGAGACCAGCAAAAGCCAAGCCATGACTCACCTTGTCTGTTTGTTTTATTTTTGGCATCATGGCAGCAGCCGGTAGCCGTTGCCAATTCGAGGATGCAGCTCTACAGACACCATAGCTGGAGCAGATGATATCTTTCACTGTCGCCTTCACAGACTGAGATGCTTTAAAAATATAGCCTTTACCCGTATGTTTGTAGTTTCTGTATTTAGACCACCCAAACAAAGGATCGGTAAAGATACTCGAGTCTCTTGAGACA